CCTGTGGCACCACAGTGGGGGCCATTTTTCTCCCATCTTTCCATCTAATGTCCCAAAAGCTTCCATCCTGAATGGTCCCTCTTTCTTTTCCTTCAGTACCTCTACCCCAACAGGCTGTAGGTGTGTGATAACCTTGGCCACAGCCACAGTGTCACAGGTTCTGCAGCACCTATGAAGACATCATCCATCGGCTGCACAGCAGTGACCTCCTCTGGTAGTTTTAATGTTTTAGCTCTTTAGCCAAAACAGCATGAGGCCATGCAGGAGAACTGTAGGTGGGATGAGAGTTGACAGTGTTGATAGATTTGAATATCTCCTTGGGATCACATTCCTAACACTATCTGGCTTTCAAGTCATCACTTTCTTAAATCACCCAGCATCACCCTCATAGCCTGGTACAGATCCCAGAGGACTATCGTGAGGAGTTACTGAGGGAAACCCATCCAACTGCTGTAAAACCGGAGCTGGCAGGCCATTTAAATAACTCAGAGAGCACCGTTCATGTAAACACATTTTTCCAGCATCTCTTAGGCTCAGTGGTGTCTGAGGGTGCTCCCTGTTTTCCCCGTTTTGCACAGAGACAGGCTGACTCTTGCCCATTGCATTTCCTTTAGCTGAGGTTCTCCCCTTGTTTACATCTTCCGCGGAGTGGTAGTAAATCTGCTAGCAGACATTGGGGGACCTCGTGGAACCTAATGATGTTTAAGACTCAGGACTGTCCCAAAAGGCATCAGCCACCCTGCAGAGCCTGCCCCAAGACATCTTGATGTGTCTGACCAGGAAATGCCTGATGAATCAGAAGCTCAGAGCCGAGCTTTGGCAGAAGATGGGAACTGAAGCCCAATGCTGTCACCCCCAAAACCCCCAACCCATTCTTCTCCCACCCAGGGAGGTTGTGCGGTTGGGTTTGGCTGTTGCCCAGGCGCACAGTGATGCCCGCACAGCTCTGGCTATGCCTGCGTGGCTGCCTGGCATAGCCAGGCAGTTGTCAGTCAGTCATTGCAATGAAGTGGTTGATTTGCAATTCAGACTGTTGAAACATTAATAGTTTATAATTAATTAATTATTTATATAATAATATAATAATTAACTGTTGAAATAATAATTTACTATAATAATAATTAACTCTTGAAACATAATTAGACTCCGCAGAGAAGGGTGCGTTGTTCTTGTTGCTGAATCTTTGGTCCAAGCTTACAGCATGCAACACTAAAGGATTAAAAAACCAAATAGAAATACGGCAGTCCTATTTCAGTTCATGGGTTACTGGAGCTGCTGCTGAACTTCAGCGGCTTTTGTGATCCTCTACGGACCTCTTGTGTCTAAAACTGGGAACTTCTGCACTTCTCATTTATAGGTTTTCATTTATAGGATACTTCAGTTGGAAGGGACCTACGATGATCATCTAGTCCAACTGCCTGACCCGTCCAACTGTCAACCTCAGTTAACAAGTGCGAAAATGAACTGTGAGCTGTGCTGCATCTAGAGAGCTAAGGGAGGGGGGGAAAGCAACGAAAGTATTTTAGTTAAAACCAGGGCTGCACGCATGGATCTGAATACACACTGGGAACAGATTTTTTTAGTAAGGAGGTGCCATTTTTACGTACTGATGAGTGATAACACACTCTAAAAATGTTTTCTAGGATTTCATTGTGAGAGAATTAGTTGGGAACTTTGCCCTTTGAAGACCATAGCAATCACTAGAAAGGTGAAAGACAGTCTCCCTGGGTCATTTCTCTGAAGGTTTCTGATAGTAGCTTTGCTGGTGCTCACTTCTCTGCATGGCAGCAGGATTACTGACTTTGCTGGGAGCAGCCAAAATTCCCCTTGCAAGACCAAGTTATGGCAAATCACTGTAAATCCGGTGCTGGCTATAAATTGTGTTGAAATCTTTTTTTGAGATTTTAAGGACCAGACAAAGGATTTGGAGGACTGGAACAGGAGTTGTCCCCTGTTGACCCATTTCTCTGTTAATTCCCTACAGCTGCCTTGATTCTTGGACCAATTTTTCTCTACATAAAAATCTATGAAGGTCTGATACTAGCTATCTGCCAGCTGTTACATGTCCTTCTGTGCACAGAAATCACCTCAGTCTAGTCTGAGTGGTACTTAATCAACCTGGATCTATGTGTGGCAGGGGCTGAGACCATGGGACAAATGGGTACGAACCCCAGGACAAAGCCTCTTGACTAAGACTTTCCTTGGGAGGAACAGCAAACTTTCTGCCTTAACAGGGGAGAACAAGTGGCTGATTATTCCTTTAATCTTGAGCCACGTAATGCTTTTCTGTCCTGCATTTAGATCTCATTCTTAGGTCTTTTTCCCAAGAGCTCCCCTGTGGATGAAAGGGATGTCTGACTTGGTGTCAGACTGAAAAACCTGCTCTTGCACCAATGGTGTCCAGAGAGGACCCTCCTTCCCTGGTGCACTAGGGACCCCCTAGTTGAAGTCTACCCTCTTTTAGTTTAAAACCATTATCCCTTGTCTTATCGTTACAGGCCCTGCTAAAAAGTCTGTCCCCATCTTTCTTATAGACCCCCTTCAAGCACTGTCAGGCAGCAATAAGATCTCCCCGGAGCCTTCTCTCCTCCAGGCTGAGCCCCCCCAGCTCTCCCAGCCTGTCCTCCCAGCAGAGCTGTTCCAGCCCTCTGAGCATTTCTGTGGCCATCTTCTGGACCCTCTCCAACAGGTCCTTGTCTTTCCTGTGCCGAGGGCTCCAGAGCTGGACGCAGCACTGCAGGGGGGTCTCCCCAGAGCGGAGCAGAGGGGCAGAACCCCCTCCCTCGACCTGCTGGCCACCCTGCTTTGGATGCAGCCCAGGATTTGGTTGGCCACCTGGGCTGTCAGATCAAAGTATTCAGGGTACTTCACAACCTATGGAGTTGGTGGAGGTCACAAGTGGTGTTCCCCAGCACTCAGTACTGGGGCTAGTTCTGTTTAATATCTTTCTCAATGTGGGGATCGAGTGCACCCTCTCTGCACCATGAGCACACCTTACTGTACACACACATAGTGCTGCTTTAGTTAAATGCTCCCATTTTTCTCTCCAGAAAAGAGAGTTTCCAGCCCACACCAGCTCCCATCTCGTCATGCAGTTGTGTAGGGATGGGTTCAGGTGGGCCAAGGCACACACCCTTCACAACACAACATCCTTCTCTCTAAATTGCACAGATCTGGATTTGATGGGTGGACTGCTGGGTGGATGAGGAATTGGCTGGATGGTCACATCCAGAAAGTAGGGGTCAACTGCTCAATGTCCAGATGGAAATCGGTGATGAGTGGTGTCCCTCAAGGGTCCATACTGGGACCAGTACTCGTTATCTTCATCCATGATAAAGAGTGGGATTGAGTGCACCCTCAGCAAGTTTGCAGATGACACCAAGCTGAGTGGTGCAGCTGACATGCTGGAGGGATGGGATGCCATCCAGAGGGACCTGGACAAGCTCGAGGAATGGGCCCGTGTGAACATCATGATGTCCAACAAGGCCAAGTGCAGGGTCCTGCCCCTGAGTTGGGGCAACCCCAGTATCAATACAGGCTGGAGGATGAAGGGATTGAGAGCAGCCCTGCTGAGGAGGACTTGGGGGTACTGGTGGATGAAAAGCTGGACATGAGCCGGCAATGTGTGCTTGCAGCCCAGAAGCCAACTAGGTCCTGGGCTGCCCCCAAAGGAGACCCTACTGCAGAGTTCTGCTGTTTAAAGGGGCCTGTGAGAAAGATGGGGACAGACTTTTTACAAAGGCCGTGTAGGGCCAGGGTAAGGGATAACGGTTTTAAACTACAAGAGGGTAGATTTAGACTAGATATAAGGAAGAAATTTTACACAATGAGGGTGGTGAGATTGCTCAGAGATGTGGTAGATGCCCCATCCCTGGAAACATTCCAGCTCAGGCTGGACAGGGCTCTGAGCAACCTGAACTAGTAGAAGATGTCCCTGATCATTGCAGGGGGGTTGAACTCACTTGACCTTAAAAGGCCATTTTCAGCCGAAAGAGTCTATGATTCTCCGATTCCCTATTCCACTTATGATCTATCAAGCCATCCCTGTACTCTCCGCAGGGCCCCGAGCTGGCAGTGCTGCTCTGCACTGCAAGCAGGCTGTGGTGCTCAGGGCAAAAGAGTGACCCTATGCTGGCTTCGCTGGTCAGGGTTGGAAACAGATCCGGCCAGATGGGGATTGCTGCTGCTCATTGCTTCCACATTGGCTCTGTGGAAGTGGAAGGTGCTTGGTGGGACTGTGGAGCTTTTCCAAGGGCATTAGATGTGTTCTGCTGTGCTTCTGGATCCAGCTGGTGATACTTCACAAAGGGTGACATGAATCGCTCCCCATCCTCCTTTCCCCATGCCTGCTGGGTCCCCGCTGCCTGCCCTGCATTGCAGAGTCCTCCTTTGCCTGTGGACACCTGGAGTTGGCGCTTTCCTTTTGGGTGATTCCTCTCTGGTGATCGCTTGCTTTGTGGGTCTCTATTCACTTCCCAGCCAAGGCACACACCATCCCTGGACACCACTGCTGCTCCCAGATCCCCCTCCTGGTGTACGGCTGTTGGCCATGCCATACATGGAACAGCCCTGGGCATGTGCCTCAGTGACACTCACCACTGTCTCTAGACATCACCAGGTGAGTCCACAATCCAAACCCTGGTTTGCAACAGGTCACAAAGAGCTTTTTGCAGCTCAGCCCATGGTTCAAGAGCCCCTGATGGGGGGCAATTCCTAATACCTGTTCTTGACAACAGCTTAAGAGGAAGAGCCCAGCTTGTTGGCAGTGCACTGGGAGGACCCATTTTTAATGAGTAGGAGAGAGTCAGCTCTGAGGCAGTGTTAGACAAAATTTTTTTGGTCTCGGGTGAGAATAATCAGGGTCATGCCTCAGGTGCAGTGAAACAAATCCAAGCCCTTTATGTAGAAAGATAATAACCACAAATTACAACAACAACAAAAATAACAACTATATTAATAAAAATCCTGAAGCACCGGGTGCGAATGCAATATTCTGGGAGTCATGTGTGGAGAGAGGTGGGATATTTATCAGCATGGAGAAGTGTCCATGAAGTCACTTTCCTGATGGCATCCTGGATCTCCTTGTTCCTCATACTGTAGATGATGGGATTTGCTGCTGGAGGCACCACTGAGTACAGAATTGCCACCAGCACATCCAGGAATGGGGAGGAGATGGAGGGGGGCTTCAGGTAGGCAACCATACAACTGCTAATAAACAGGGAGACCACGGCCAGGTGAGGGAGGCACGTGGAAAAGGCTTTGTGCCGTCCCTGCTTAGAAGGGATCCTCATTACAGCCCTGAAGATCTGCACGTAGGACACCACGATGAAAACGAAACACCCTGAAGCTAAAGCAAGACTAAACACAAGAAGCCAAATTTCCCTGAGGTAGTCATCTGAGCAGGAGAGCTTGGGGATCTGGGGTATTTCACAGAAGAACTGGCCCAGGGCATTGCCTTGGCAGAGGGGTAGTGAAAATGTACTGGCCGTGTGCAGCAGAGCATGGAGAAACCCACCGCCCCAGGCAGCTGCTGCCATGTGGGCACAAGCTCTGCTGCCCAGGAGGGTCCCGTAGTGCAGGGGCTTGCAGATGGCAACGTAGCGGTCGTAGGCCATGATGGCGAGAAGAGAATACTCTGCACCAAAAAAGAAGAATAGAAACAAGACCTGTGCAGCACATCCTGAGTAGGAGATTGCCTGGGTGTCCCAGAGGGAATTGGCCATGGATTGGGGGACAGTGGTGGAGATGGAGCCAATATCAAGAACTGGGGAATACCTCTTGTCACCGGCCGCCAAGCGGGTTTAACTCCATTCACCACAGCTCTCTGGGCTCGGCCCATAGTGACGGGAGAAAGGAAAAAAGCAAATCTCGCTCATCTTCTAACAAGGCTCAAAGGAAGACCAATGGGATTCCAGGCTGCAGTGGTAGAGGCCTGGGGCTGCATGGCGGGGTTGCAGCTCTGTGCAAAACCCCTTAGAATCACAGGATCTTTTTTGTTGTATTTGACCATTAAAGGTCATCTAGTCCTACCCCCTTGCAGAGATCAGGGACATCTTCTAGATCAGGTTGCTCAGAGCCCCGTCAGATGGAGCCAATATCAAGAACGGGGGAATACCTCTTGTCACCGGCCGCCAAGCGGGTTTAACTCCATTCACCACAGCTCTCTGGGCTCGGCCCATAGTGACGGGAGAAAGGAAAAAAGCAAATCTCGCTCATCTTCTAACAAGGCTCAAAGGAAGACCAATGGGATTCCAGGCTGCAGTGGTAGAGGCCTGGGGCTGCATGGCGGGGTTGCAGCTCTGTGCAAAACCCCTTAGAATCACAGGATCTTTTTTGTTGTATTTGACCATTAAAGGTCATCTAGTCCTACCCCCTTGCAGAGATCAGGGACATCTTCTAGATCAGGTTGCTCAGA